CTAATTATATTTTAGATTTTTTATATTTAAAATGAGATGTTTATCATGTATTTGATTGTGTTTATCTGCAATTAGTTACACGCATACAGATATGAGATGAAATCGGATATGGATGAAATCGTTTAGGGATGAACGGGTTTAAAAGTTTTTAAGAGTTTTAGCCAAATGTTTTATAAGATAGTATAGATGATTGGTGTTCTAAAAAGGTTTTTTTTAATTAATAGATGAAATAAGTATGTCGCTCCAGAGTTAAGAGAATGGATTTAATGCTGTCATTGTTAGTGGCTTAGCTTGTAGCGAAATGTAAACCATAGGAATCTTCGGTGTATCTATACTATCTTATAAAACATTTGGCTAAAACTTTTAAAAACTCTTAAAACTCTTAAAAACTTYTAAACYCGTTCATCCCTATACGATTTCATCCCATATCTGAATTCGTAAGTGACTTTTTGATTTTATAGGTAACACATGTGATGTTTAAGGTGTCTTAATTGCAAGAAATAAACCTTGCAAACATTCAAATGATATAATTAAACTTACAACGTTTAATATCTAATACATAAAAATACAAAAAACTAATAAAAAGATAAATACGTCGGTACTTTGGTACCACTGTTGTAAGCGACTTCCAATACCGTGTACCAACCAAGTTTATATACTTGATATGATACTAACAACCAACTGTAATGAGTACCAATTTAATTGGTACCGTTGGTACATATGTTAGTTGGTTTAATCTGGTACAAAATTGTCACCCTTATTACAAACGTATTGAAAAATTAACTTCAAAATGAATTCGACTATGACACGTGGCATACTCATACATCGTCTTTTATCTTTGAGTCCAAATAAATGACAAAAGAAAATAACTCAAGTAAGTACACTGAAGGGTGTAAAAGCTAAAGCTTAAAATGAAAATTAAAAATTTAATAAACAATCAATAATATTATTTATTTTCATCTAAGATGATAATATATAATATACTTACAAAAATATAAATATATATAGTGCTTTTGAACCGCAGTTTAATAATTTAAATTCCGCAAAACACACCAAAAAGTATAGTTAAACGGCATCTAAAACGTTCTAAACCGCATGATGGGTGTGGTGAGACGCAGTGTAGCCTGTTTAGCCTTTTGATACATTGGATCATGATAGAACAAAACATAACATAACATAACAGAGATCTATGTTTCATGTTTGGTAGGATTTTTATGTGAAACATATAAGAACAAAGTGTTAATAGTGGAATAGGTCTGTTCAACTCCTATCACATGGAACATGGTTTAACAAGATGAAACAAACTTATATTTTACCACTATAACCTCAAAATAAAACTTAATTTTTTCTAAAACATCAAATAAGTCATCTTTTTATATATTATTCATTCTTTAAATTTTATTTATTGTATTTTATGTTTTTTAAATTTTCATTTTACTGTATTCAAGACTATACAATCTTTTCTATCAAATTGATCATATTCGATACCTACATCCCACAAATGGAAGCTACATAATTTTTTTAATATTTTGATGTCATTTTAATTGTTTTGACGAAAAACTTCTAATGATATATTTTGTTATTAAAAAATAATTATTTTATTATAATTTAATAAATTAATCAAAATATATACACAACTCATTATGTGTGAATTGGTCATTTTACTTGTTATATCTAGTTCTGTCTTACCAACCATTGAACAGTTATTCTATCATATCTTGTTATGTTTTATCTTATTCTGTCATGTGCTATCCTATCCGAACCCCGAAGAGACCCTAAAGGAGAATGTGTATGAAGCAGAAATAATATTTGGAAAGTCTTAAAAGTACAAATTTCTCGAAAGATGAAGGGCTATAACGAAACTAACCCATTGACCATGGTTCATAATTAATCCCTTTTATTATAATCTGTAAACGATTACGTCCCTATTAATAACCTCCTAAAGCCCAAACCAGGCGTTATTTCGGTTTTTCTTCGTTCTTCTCTCCAATCCCGCAATAGTTTAGGTTTCCTTTTCTCGCAATGGAATCAGAGGGCACAACGGCTTCCGTCGACGATCTTTCTCAAGAAATCTTGAAAAAGGTAAAGATTTCAACAAACCCACATCACGATTCTCAAGTTTTCCATTAGTTTTTGCAATCATTAATACTATATCGAGCGATCGGTAGGCGGTACTCTCAAAAGATTGGATATATATGTGTTCTTGATCTTTAATACATCAATGGCGGATTGTATTTTCTTTCACTTGTATTGTAGTTTTCTTGTTTCTTATTTCGAGTTTTTAAGTATGGAATATGATGATTAATGTAGGATGATTTGAGGGCTCAAACTCAATGTGATCGTATTCACCGGCATACCAATGATCAGTTGAGTAATTCTACCAAGATTTTCGTGGGTGGTTTACCTGCTGATTTAACAGTAGATGAGTTTAGGGATTATTTCCAGAAATTTGGTTCTATGGAAGATGTGGTTGTGATGTGTGATAAAGAAACCAGTAGACCACGAGGGTTTGGTTTCGTTACCTTCGAATCACCAGAAACCGCGGAGAAAGTACTCAAAAATCGGTTTTACGAGTTGAAAAACAAGCGTGTGGAAGTGAAGAAAGCGGTTTCGAAAGAGCGAATGAGTCGGAATTTTGGGAATTATTATGATACTTACAATGCTGTTTACAATGGAACCACCTTCCCTTTTACAGCTTCATCTTCTTATGGTAATTTTGGTGGGTATTACAATTATGGGATGAATGGATATGGATTTGGGGCTTCTTATGGTTGTGAAGGGCTTTCATACATTTATTATCCCTATCAAAGCTTCAATCCAAGTTATTATGCCAACAATTATCAGAATTTGTGTTATTATGCAGACACTTATTCCTACCAAAGTCCATATTACTATGGAAACACCCCATACAGCAGTAAACGTACCCACAAATACAGGAATAGAACCCCAAATGTGCTCAAAGATGGTGATGATGATTCTAATATAGTGATAAAGAATGCAGCAAATTTGGTTCAGAAGCTTGAGGATTTGCATTTGGGAAGTGATGGTCAAGCAAATGGTGATGGTGATGGTGATGGTGACCATACTGAGATTAGTGAAGAAGGGTTGAGTTTGGATTGCAATGGCTGCGGTGATGGTGGTGGTTGTGCGGTGGTTATTGATCAAGATTTGAGTTTGTAATGGATCGGAGTCGATGGATGCAGTCTTGTTAATTAATGTTCAACGGATCGGTGATATATTGGACGGACTTTTAGGTAAGTTGATTATTTTTCACTCTCGTATCGTGTAGTTGAAAGGGTATTTATATGATTTCGTTTGCAACTAGTTTTATTTCGGTAATAATAAATTTTGTAGTGATGTTACGACCTTTTAAAATGGTTTTTTCTTTAACGGCCTTTATCTGATGATGATGGTAAATGACCTGCCTTTGGGTCGTTTTGTAAAACGAGCTTCTGTATAAAGTTATTGAGCTAAACAGCCGAAACAAACCATAATTGAGTTGTTTTTATTGCCTTTGAAACCCATAATCTTATTTGTATGATGATTTTATTTATGAACTATTTAACTGCATAATTTTGTATTTTGATATAAATATACGAAGGCTGCTTTAAAGGATTAGTTGTTTTAAGGAATGCAAACAAAGGTTTTTACAATTTGTTGTCGGGTTATTTACAAAAACAATCATTTAAGCGAACGTATCTCGCATAATAACTAGCTTTTTCTAAATTAGCATAGAATGATGACACTTTTCACAAAAAAGAACCAGAGAAAAACCCTAGTTGTTTTAAATGTACTTTTTAACTCCAGTTTAGGACTCTTATTGGGATTAACCATTTGTAGTCTTAGAGTTTGTTTGTTTACCTCTTAATAGTTCCATTAAGAGACAACCTCTGAATCGTTAAGAGGTGAATCATGTTTAATGACTTTTGTATCCTGGGACTCCCTTAACCATTAAGAGCCCTAATTTCATTGTACACAATTACCAAACAATTATATTTTATTTTGTACTATAATCATGAGAATTTTTTAATCATTCAGCACCAAATCATTCAACAATTATCAAACAACCCTCGGGATGCAAAGTGAACTATTGCCTTCTTAGATGTTAGAAACAAGCCCTCACTAAAAAGGGTAAATGGGCTTTTCTCTTTATCCCTCGGATTTTGGCCTGCTTTCATGACACATATTTTGTTAAAATTCTTGTAACATGTAGCTATTCAACTAAGACAAGAGCAATAATATTTCGAAAATCCGGGGTTATTTAGGTAAATGACCTTAAATGAGTTTTTAATTAAATTCATGACCTTCTGACTATATAAGAATAAATGGGTTTATATTCATGAGAAGGTCATGAATTTAATTAAAATCTCATTTAAGGTTATATACCTAAAAATCTTAGAAAACCTGTATATGCATATATGTATGTGTGTATATATATATATATTGATGCGTATACATGTTTAAAATATGTATTTTTGCAATTAGTATGTTCATTAATGCATATCTACTACGTATGCAAGTATACATGCACTAAGGCAGATTCTCTTAAATTTCTATATTTATATGTATCAATGCATCGATGCATATACTTCATACTAGTTCTCACGATTCTTAAAATATTTATGGGTTTTGCTTTTTAGCTTTATGTTGTATATACATATCTCTTTTGTGCAACATCTAGAAGCATAACACTTACCTACTTTTATAGGCGAGGTGGATGCAAGTCGATCCCGTCGTTGTCCACCCCAACACTATCTTTTGTACAAAGTTGGTGGCTAAAATCAGAGATCATATTCAACCGTAGGAAGCGATATTTGTGTTTATGATTTCCATTTTCTTTTCTTACATCACCGGAACTGGATTTTATTCCATCATTCTATTTTTCAATCTTTAGACGGTTTCTTTAACTTCTCAAATTCAGTAGATTCGATTTCCGTTCAATAATTTGATCAATAACGGTTCTAAATCATAATCCCATAAAAAAAGTTGCCAAATTTGTAGATCGATTAGATGAAATAACCTTAAAATTCATTTATAAACGACATAAAAGTAACATTTATTTGGCTAACTTTTTAGCTCTAAAAAAGCAAAATGAAGCCATATTTCCAAGGCCAAAAGAGTAGACAAACATGAAAGGCACCTTCATGAATCTCGAGGTGCCGAATATTTTGAATGGATTCTGGTTACCAACCAACCACTTTTGAGATAATGGGTATTGAATTCAATGCTTGAAATTTCTTTTTTGCCCTTTGTTCCTGGCCCTAGAAGCTAGAGGGGGTCCTAGGATTTTGGGTACTTTAGGGGGTGCCCTTGTTTCTGTGTCCTATTATATTTACCATCTAGCATCTAACGGTCTAGATTTACAAGATTCTACCTTAGAATTATTCAAAGTTTATATATATGGGAGGGTAGTAAAGATGCATACTTTGATTGTAGTTTCTTGGAGTTTTTCTGTGTTTGTGTTAAAGATATATTGTGGGGTCTTGTTTGCTAATTAAAGTAAAACATATTTAGCAAAGTAATGTTCTCTCTTCCTTCTTGCTGTGTGTGTGAAATGTCACATATATCCCTTAAGACATGTGAGTGATGTCATACTCACTTTAAGATTCTCTCTGTCCATCTCCTGCCATGAGAGAGTTGCAGAATTAGCTTAACAGAGACTTAAATGAGAACCACTTTAATGGTGAGGATAAGTCTCTTTCCCTCACTCTCTCTCTCTCTCTCTCTATATATATATTATATATATATATATATATCTTTCAATCTCTCTCTAAAAGATTTAATTGAAAGGGAGATTGGAAAGGGGGGGGGTGTTTGGAGTCATCCATTAAGTTTCTGTAGTCATTCTCAGTTGGGTTGCTATCTGTGTTCTTTATCATATCTGTTTGCCCATTGGTTTTCTGGGTTTTTGTAATCTTTCATGTTCCATTAGATTTTCTTTGGATTTTAGTGTTCCCCAAATCCCACCTGAATTTACACACACTTGGACTCACAACTCAATTATTCTCAATGACCCCTTTAATTATTTCCCAACACATCCATAGTACCAAAAACTCTTAGGGTTGTCTTCCCATAGAACCACCCAGTTTTCATAAAAACTGTGAGAACAACTGTGAAAATCTTTGCAGTGTTTTTGTTATGAAGGGTTAGTGTTCTTTTTCCTTAACAGTGTTTTGCTGTAAAGGTTCAGTGTTCTGCTTTAAAGATTTAATGTTTTCTTGGTTTCACGGGTCCTAAAAAACAGGCCGGTCTCATACAGTTTTTAACATTAACATTCACAGGTATCATTAATAAAGTTTTCACCTTCTTTTTAATCTGGTTATGGCCTGCAATCTTTAACTAATCAAAGGGCCTGCAGTCTTGAACTAATCAAAGCATATTCTTAAATTCTAACCTTAAAATAATAAACATTTAGCGGAGGAACAGAGACTTCCCCTATAAGTGTATTATGGTAACTTAAAAGATTGAATCACCAAAGAGATGAGTGACCAGAAAATTGTCCTGATAACCGGCTGTGCTAAAGGCGGGATTGGGTACGAATACTGCAAAGCGTTTGCAGAACAAAACTGCCTCGTGATTGCTTCTGATATCGCTCAAAGGATGGATGACTTATCTGAGCTACAAGAACAACAGATAGAAACATTAGAGCTTGATGTTTTATCAGATAAAAGTGTTTCATCGGCCGTAAATGCTATTATCTCCAAGCATGGTCGGATAGATGTTTTGATCAATAACGCTGGAATCGGAAGCACGGGCCCACTAGCCGAGCTCCCGCTAGATGAGATAAAAAGGGCTTATGAAATCAACACTTTAGGACAACTTAGAATGGTGCAACAAGTTGTGCCTTCCATGGCTGCCCGAAACAGTGGGATTATAGTTAATGTAGGCAGTGTTGTCGGAAAAGCTCCTACCCCTTGGGCAGGCTCGTATTGTTCTACCAAAGCAGCGGTTCACGCAATCACCCACACTCTTCGATTGGAATTAAAGCCATTTGGTATTAATGTGGTTTTAGTGATTCCAGGGGCTATAAGATCAAATTTAGGGAGTCACAACACAGGGAGATTGTCGAATTACGATTGGAAACTCTATAAAGATTTTAGCGAAGATATAGCCGAGCGCGCTAGAGCTTCACAAGTTGGTAAATCCACAGATGCAACATTATTCGCACGACATATAGCAAAGAAAGTTTTGAGCTTGAACCCACCTAAGCAAATAGTGTTTGGTCATATGACCACTCTATTCGCCTTTCTTTCCGTCTCCCCACTTTGGGTTAGAGATCTTTTCTTCACAAAACGGTTCAATCTAGTCAAGAAAGTGTGATCTCCGGGAAGTTTAAATGTTCATTAGATTTCTGCTTATGTTTTTTTCTTGTTTTATGGGTGTTTTCTTATAATCATTATGAGTGATATCAAGCAAAGTTCATATCTTTCTGTCTCCCACTTAGGGTTATAGATCTTTTCGTCACTTAACCGTTCAATCTAGACAAGGAAGTGTGATTTCTGTGCAATTTAAACGTCCGTTAGATTTCTGCCTATGTTTCTTTCTTGTTTTACGGGTGTTCTTATATAATCTTTATGGAGCGATATTAAGTAAAAATCTTATCTTTCTGTCTCCCCACTTCGGGTTAGAGATCTTTTCTTTAGTTTAATCTAGACACAATATGGGAAGTTTATATGTTCATTAGATCTCTACTTATGTTTCTTTCTTGTTTTATGGTGTTTCTATAATCTTTATGGGTGATATTAAGTAAAGTTTTTATCTTTCTGATCTTTAGGGTACTGTACCTTCTTCTCAACACCTTTAGTGCTCAATGTACCTCTATAAGGCATGGAAAGCCAGATGCACTATTAATATGGTTTTGTACTTTGAATCAAAAGCTAGGAGACACAAAATTTAAGTATGGTAGTTGAGTATGTTAGAGGCTTCCCCCCACCCCCACCCCCCTTCTGCAAAATTTTCACATTTCTGCAATAGACACAGGTCAAACAGACCACCTCCCCCTGGTGAAAAATGGTCATAGTTGTTTTTCTATTATTGTTCATTAACTGATCCTATTTTAGGAGCTAAAAAGACTTAAACTTGAATTATGAGGCATAATGATTCTGGTATGGTAACAAGAACCAAAAAGAGGGGTTCAATAATTGAAAAGGTTGGGAATGAGATGACCAGCAGACAAAGGAATGATAAGTGAAGGGCTTATCTCTCTGATTCAAAAGGTTGGTGAAAATGAAAGAATTTGAAGGGTAAAACTTTGTTATTAATAAATGATCTTGATTTTATCTTGAACTGTTGATTTATGGTAGCATACAAGGGTTATCATCTCGAATGACGACCTGATAGAAAAAACACTTTATAACCATCTCACAATTTCTTTTTACATAAAATAGTCAAGAAACCGGAAGTAAACGCCGTAACACACTTTTATTTGCGTTTTTGACAAATTTGTCTAATTCATTGAAAAAGTAGGCTCACTGTAAAAACCTTTAAAAAACCGCAATACTCTCTTACATCTACGACAAAATGCAAAAGCCAAAGTCGCACTGTTTTGTAGCTAAAACGCGAGAAAATGTGTCTTGTGATGTTGACTTGTGGTTTCTAGAGTATTTTGGAAGAATCTTTAACGGGTAAATGTTATTTTTAATGAAGATAATCTAGCAAAAAAGATATACTTGAATTAACTGTGGATGTTAACTATTTGAGGGAAAATTACAAAATGGGGTCTGAATTATGGTGGGGTGGATTTAGTCTCATCATTACTACAATCAAAAAAAGAATTTGAGGGGGTGGGGATTTCTTCCCCACCATCCTTCACCTTCACAGTACACGGTTTCTTTATCTTTTCTCCCATATCTCTCTCACCTTTTCCAAAAACACCAAATTATTCCTACTGGAAAATCTGTCTCCATTGACAACTTTGTCATGCAAAAAACTCATGCAACCCTAATTTTGATTATCTTCCCAGTTTTGCTACCCACAAGTGAAAAAACAGAACACAGAAAAATACATTTTCTTTGATACTATTACAGAAACTAAAAGAGGATATATATATATATATATATATATATATATGTATGTATATATATGAAGTATTTGAATATACGGAGGAGAGGGGTAGGGTATGGCACTGCAAATATTGTGTTGATTTGTCAGTCAAAAACATATCGTTGTTTAACCAAAGTCCAAAAGGATGGAGCAATTACTTTACCCTCTTTCAGTATGTTTCCTGGCAGTCTGAAGCGGCGTCGTTTAGCTCATTGTCAAGGCACTTCTCATCAGACCAGCTATGAAAACCCTATTGCTCACATACCATCCATAGCTGCTTAGCTATAGATCAAAAGATACCCTATTTCTATTGCTGCTGCTGCTGTAATCCATAAGCAATCAGCAGTAAGCAGTAAGCAGTAAGCAGTAAGCAGTAAGCAGTAAGCAGTAGATGGTGTGTATTACTTCAGTAGTATATACGTATAGACCCATATAGACATTGACAATTGTAGACACTCCAAAACCACAAATATCAAACCTATACATGTTGTGGTCTACTGTTTATGAACTGAACAACTGGACTGTTTTGTCTTTTTGCCTCTTGTGAAGAAAATCTATCTTAGCTTCTCTCTCTGTCCATCTCTTGCAGTTTTAAACAGACCCTCTTTCATAACTTCCATTGCCATCTCTTTGGATATCTTTTGGAAGGTTTCAAACTCAAGAAATCACCATAAAACATAACCACAAATATCCCTCACGGAAGTGAGTATTACAGAAAGAAAACATGGATGCAATTAATGAAGCATAGATGGATAGAACGAGTGGGGTTAGGGATCAAAATCTGTAACTTCTTCATGGGAAAAAAGAAAGGGTGTTGCATCCATATTTGTATCAGAATCAGACTAAATCATACATTGAACACCACAGTAAAATTTGTTTTATAGTACGTGTAGACTGTGTAAGTACGTTCGTGGTAAAATACTTTATAAAACATAAGTTTATAGGACATAACTATAAAACATCTTGTCTAAAAGCGTTATAATAGGTTTATAGGACGCCTTTAAGCATCTTAACAAGCTTTTTAAGACGTTTTTAAAATAAACTGTCCTATTAACTATTTTTATAGGACACTTTTGAGAAATCTGCTATAAACCCATCTTTATATAGGACATTTTTTCAAATATTGTCATAAAATAGCTAATACCATATTTTATTTGTAAAACATCGTAAAAAAACTTGTCCTATAAATCTATTATAACATTTTTAGGTATGATATTTTCTAGTTTGTTCCTATAAACTTAAGTCCTATAAAATATTTTATTAGTAGGAGAAAATTAGTAGGTAGAAATGCATTAAGTCGACGTAAAAGAAAAGGGTAAGGGTGCAAGTTTCATTCTTTAAATATCCAATTCAAATCTTGATAGATGTTATTCTTGTCCCATTATACACACAAACATAACTCTACAATATAATAGTTTGTAACCCTAATCAAGATTTTCTGCTCTTTCTGAGCAAGAAGTATAAATGTGATAGACTGATATGCCTTGGGATTTAAAAAGGAAACTGTTTAGCACTTGTGCTTAATGAGGGATATTAAGCAAAATATTTCATTATATGGATTCTTTTTTGTTTCTTTTAAGTAAATGGAATCCATAGCCATATCTTGGTGACCACAGAATAAGATCTTGAAACTTTTTATGATACTTTTAGTACATACGGGTTATGGTTTACAAGGATGGGGTTGAAGTAAAGAGTTTAAAGAATATACCAGAAATTGCATATAAATGCAAATTATATATTACATAACATATATCTATATCTATATCTATATCTATATCTATATATCCATGTATCACATAAAGCAAAAGAAAAAAAAAAGAAAAGCAAAAGAGGTGGTCTTTCTCAAGCACGGATCCCAATGTTATGCAGGAAGGATGCCAGCATTGTTTGCTGTAAACTCATTCTTTTTGTATAAGTTTAAAGAAACTTGCTTTGGTTCTCCTTTAGAAATCTTTTCAGAGGGGAAGGCCAGGAGGGTCCAAAGGGAGATTGATAAAGATTAACATATGTGGTTAATTTTTCATTTAACAAATTCATCTAGTGAGTTTGTGGTTTGCTGATTTCATTTATAAATATATAGTTATAGATTCTGTTTCTATTAAGTCTTGCAACTAGGAAACAAAAAAACACTCTTGACCTCTGCTCTTCCTCCTTCCCACCTTGTTTTTAGTTTCAAAAATGGAGGGAAAGCAAAGTATGATTAGTTTTTCTAGCTGCCCAATGATTGAGTGAGCTTTGCATCAAGAAAGAAAATCAAAACTTGCTTTGGATTAACAATCCCTTTTTCTTTATTCCATGTGTGAAAGTGAGTTAGATTCATAAAGGAAAATGAAGTCTGTAATCAACAACAATGGCAACAATGGCAACAATGACAACAACAAAAACAGTAACAACTGGTTGGGCTTCTCTCTTTCTCCTCATATGAACACTAGTTCTACAACTTCAACAATGGAAGGTTCTCCTCCTTCAGATGCCGCTACTCAGCCTTCTTCTTCAAATCCCACAACTTATTTCAACCTCCCTTCTCATTTCAACTACCCAAATATTTACTGTTCTGGAGTTGAAAGTGAAAATGCAAGTGGGCTTTACTCTGCTTTCCCTATTATGCCCCTGAAGTCAGATGGTTCACTTTGCTTAATGGAAGCCATAACCAGATCACAATCGCAAGGTTTGTTTCTTGTTTTTTTGTATCTAAATATGTTTCCTTTTATGCTTAAAAAGTTTTCAACAATGTGTTGTCTTTTAGGAATGGTTAGCTCAACTCCACCAAAACTTGAGAATTTTTTTGGTGGTGTAACAATGGGGACCCCTGACTTTGACAGAGGAGGAGCTACAATGGCTCTTGGTTTAGATAGCAGTACAATGTACTACAACCAAAATCCTGATCATGAGACTCTACAACACAACCATAGGCATCAGCAACATCAGATTCAACCCCAACACTACCCAGATTACTCTGGCTTCAGAGCTTTGTACCAAACTGTACAACAAGAAGAAGTCAAGGAGGCTCAGATTGCTGCAGATAGTTGTAACCTTCATCTACCAAGTATTGGAGAAGATGATGACATCAATAGTATGAAGAACTGGATTTCAAGAAACTATCATTCTGGTATTGGTGGTGGTGATCATGGTGGTGGTGGTGGTTACGGAGATTTACAGTCACTTAGCTTGTCAATGAGCTTTGGCTGTTCACAATCACAGCAGCAAATCATACCTCCTGCTAATGTCACTGATTGTGTGGTTTTGGATTCCAAGAAAAGAGGGTCTGAAAAAGTGGATCAACAGAAGCAGATTGTTCATAGGAAGTCTTTAGATACATTTGGTCAAAGAACCTCTCAGTATAGAGGTGTCACCAGGTTCATTTCTTGATTTTTCTTTCAAGTAAAAATTTCTAGTTTTCTGTAAGTAAAATTTCTAGTTTTGTTATGTGGGTATTCTCTGAATCTGTTTCTTTATCAGGCATAGATGGACTGGTAGATATGAAGCTCATTTGTGGGACAACAGTTGCAAAAAAGAAGGCCAAAGCAGGAAGGGAAGACAAGGTTAGAAATGAAAACACAAAAAACACCATAATGAATCCATGTTGACTTTTTTACACTTTGTCACCTTTTTATGCTTGTGTTGACCAATAATTACTACAAATTCTCACCAATTTTCTTGTTTTCTTGCTTTCTGGATTCAATTCTTGGCTTCAGTTTATCTGGGTAAGCCTCAATTTCATGTTTTTGTCTGAATTCTTTTTTATAGTTTTGGTGTAAATATGATAGAAAAATGAGTACTTTATTCTTGATTTTTAGGTGGTTATGATATGGAAGAGAAAGCTGCAAGGGCTTATGATTTAGCAGCACTTAAGTATTGGGGACCTGCAACTCACATCAATTTTCCGGTAGCTTTCTGATCGTGAAATCTTATCGGTTTTCTAGAAATGGTTAGAATATAACATCTTATAATACCTTTCTGGTCAGTTGGAAAACTATGAACAAGAAGTTGTAGAAATGAAGAACATGTCCAGACAAGAATATGTAGCTCACTTGAGAAGGCAACTCTTTAAACTCCCATTTTTCAACCATTCAATATCTACATATATATATATATATATATATATATATATATATATACACAACCAAAACAATACTTCAACTTATATCCTTGTGTTTTCAGGAGAAGCAGTGGTTTCTCTAGGGGAGCCTCAGTTTACAGAGGAGTAACAAGGTCTAGAAAGGGTCTATATATGTGTACATATATGTGTGTATATTATATATACATGTTTTATTTGAAAAAAACAATGAAGTAAAATGGTTCTCTTTATTATTCCTAACTTGCAGACACCATCAACATGGTCGTTGGCAAGCCCGAATCGGGCGTGTGGCTGGGAACAAGGATCTTTATCTGGGCACATTCAGTAAGTAAATTGAACTCATTTTCTTAATCAATTTTCTTGATTTCAAAACATTAAGAAAAGTGGACCTTTTTATTTATTTATTTATCCTTTTTTTTATAATTATAAATAAAAGAATAACCAATTAGACAGAGATGTGAATGCTTTTAAAAACATCCTTCAGAATCTCTGAAAATCTTGACCTTTAAGATGATGATCAAAGCTGTTTTTGTCAACAAAGAAGGCTGATTTTTCTCAAGAGCATCTTCTGTGACTCTCTTACATCCAATGCCCAATGCATGTTTTTATGTCATTTATGTCTTTGCTGCATTTTCAGTTTTTGGTACAATTCACAAAAGCCATTTCAAGTAGGACCCACTTCATTGTACATTATTTAACGTTCAACCGGTTAATAAAGGCTCGATCTTGAGACTCCTCATCCTCCCGTTCTTCCCCGTCTTTAGGGCCCCATAGGATTAATCAAAAACCCGTACAAGTCAGTACATTATTTTCCCTCCTTGTATTGTACTTTGCTTCAACAAATTTGAAATGACAGGCACTCAAGAGGAGGCAGCCGAAGCATATGATGTGGCCGCCATCAAGTTCCGTGGCATTAACGCGGTTACAAATTTCGATATATCAAGGTATAATGTTGAAAAGATCATTGCAAGTAACACCCTTTTGGCCGGAGAACTAGCTAGGAGAACCAAAGAAGTAGAACCATCAAACGACCTCTTATCCGACCAAATTACTCAAAATGGTGATCAACCCAACACCACCACGGCCGCCACCACCACCACCACCACCGCCAATGCAACGGCCACCACCAACATGTTGGACTGGAAAATGGCACTATATGATCAGAATGCTACTACTGGAACTGGGCTGGAGGGAGATGATCAGTCCTCTAAACTTGGGACACATCTATCCAACGCTTCTTCTCTGGTGACGAGTTTGAGCAGCTCGCGAGAAGATAGCCCGGAAAGAAACAACAACCTGCCGATGATCCTCGGAACGCCGCCGTCGGCTTCCAAGTTTCTTGGAAATTCTAATTCTAATTCATCAGGCACATGGATTCCAACAGGAACAACCCAACTGAGGCCTCACATCCCAGTTTTTGCTGCATGGACAGATGCATGATAATGGAACCAGAAAAAAAGAAAAGAAATTGTGGGGTCTTTTCTTTTTCTTTGTTTTTATTTTTTTCTATATGTATTTTCTGAAGAAATATGGATTCATTTGAATTGGGAAGGGGTAAGTAAGTAAATTCAGTTCTGTATGGGGGCTCTTGTAAACTATATGTTAACAAAGGTTCCAAATTTTCCAACTCCTCAAAATCCTATTCATTAATCCAAAGTGATTCCTCGTTCTATTCTAAAATCAACTGTGTTGTAACGTTACAATAAAATCGGGTTTGTAGAACATTCTTAAAAAATGTCCTAAAAAGGGGGTTAATAGGACATATGGTGTTCCAAAAATGTCCTAAAAACTTGTTACGACATATGATATCTCAAACTGTTCTATCAACTTGTTGTAATTTTTATATAGGAAGTGTTACAATTATTTGGTTTTATAGAATAGCTGATCTGAAAATTTAAACATATTTGACGTCTTATAAAACTGATTTTATTGTACTGATATGATAAGATTTGATGGTAATGATGGTATTTTAAGTACAAGAATTGAACCCAGCTCAGTCTTACCAATTATGCTAAAGATTGTGTTTGTTCTTTTGACTTATGACTCTTTTTTATTTCAATTGCATGTCACCATGCAATATCTATCATTTTCTATTCATATAAATCTTAATTTCATCATTACCTCCATAACAAATATTTTAATCCAAACAATAATTATTTAATATTTTTATAAAAAAATAGAAAATCAAGATATATACTTCCATTTGTTTTATTTGTTTATTTTGACAGATTTAGGGACCGTTTACTAAAGGTTTGCCTGGTAAGTACTTATCGGGTAATTTTCAATACTGGATGAACATGGCAATGGCCAAGAATCTTACGTGGCAAGGTACAAGAGTCTTACTCGGTAAGTGAGGGTGACGACTCTTACCCGGGTAAGCGCTTATCAAGTAAATTGTTGCATATGATACGTTTTGATGTACTACAATCTTACCCAATAAAATAAATTATACTGTTGACTCCTAACATTAAGCACTTACCAGGTAAGCATTTAGGTAAACGACTCCTTGGATAATCTCTTATAAGTTAAATAAGGAAACTAAATATCGTAAAAAATCAAAAAGGAAAAGTTTATATATGAATACAGAAATAATCTGTTAATGTTGGTTCGCATATCATTTTCAAATAGGTTTTTTTTTTTTCTAGATTTTTTAAATGATTCACATTAGAGGCGGACCTAGAAACTTTTTCATGGTGGTGGCACCATTTAACTATAATAAATGAAGATAAAAATATTTTTTACGCAATTAGCATTGTTCTGTTGGTTAGTTCTTTACTTTTCGTAAATGGGGTCATGTGCTCGAGTCTTTTGTCGCACTTTTTTTTCTTTCTAAAAACATAATAAATATGAAATTAAAAGTTAAAACTAAGAAAATGAAACAAATGAGATTCAAACCCATTCCTAGGGTGGAAGAAAACCCATGCCAGCCTACTTTGTTATGAAAAACTTGTGTTATCATTGTAGTTTTAAAATATATACATTGACACCGACCAACGACAGAGAAACGAAGTGGTGACTCTTGCTACTGTATGCAATAGAGTGGGTCTGCCCCTTTTTACCTTATTTCGTCGCAATATTTAGTATTCTTATTTGAACCAACTCTACGAATAACCTTTCTTCTCTGTTCAAAAACTCATTTAAAAAGTAATCTCACAGGATTCCACATATGTTTCAGTATTTTTTTTATTTTTGGTGATGATGGCCTGTCAAGCATTGAATAATTTTGTAAACTTATTGGGGGAAGAAAAATAGGAGTTTGGGTGGGTGTGAAAATGTGGCTTTAAGATTTGAAATGTGACATTTTGGTGGAAGGTAATGATGGTTTTGAAAATAAAAGGGATTAATGTGGGCTTTTTTTTCATAAACCACATCATTACATATTCATGTAATCATTCTATTAAAGTAAATATGCTTCAATCACCGTTCCTCGTGTGGGTCTCAACTTTCTACCTTTGACCATCCTTTCCTTTCACTTGCCACCTATATTCATTGTATATACACTTTTTATCTCTATATATTCTCATATAAAAAAACATGCTATACCTACTTTATGAAACTTATCTATTCAAAACAGGATATGATATAACAAAACTGTAGATTACAACTGTTTAGGAAGGAAAACGGAACGGGTTTTGGTCATCGTTTAATCCTCAAGAGTAGAAGAAGAGATAACTGGTAAAATATATGTTTGTTTCACCTTGTTTCGTGCAGTGGGATGAAATATTCAATTCCACTTTGCTTTTTTGTGTACACGTCTGTTCCATATAAAAGTCATGCCAAACGTGAAACAGTTATATCTGTTATGTCATGTCGGGTGTACCAAGACGCACTCTGTATGAATAAACAGTTGATGTGTCGATATAGAAGCTTTTTAGCGCTCTAACAAGTTTTTAGAACAATTTTAAAAGAAAACATTTTTTTATTAGTCCTTGTACATATCTTATAGAAACAAACATGCTACAAAAATATGTGTTCTTAGACACTTTTCAGAAGCGTCCTATAAAATATGTTTTTATAAGACATTTTTTAAGAAAAATATCATAAAATATGTGTTTATAGGACACTTATCAAAAGAAATGTCCTGTAAAAATGTGTTTCTACAGGATATTTTTCAAAAGTGTCCTATAAAAAAGAACCGATGACAATTTATTTATTCCTTTAAACTAATTTCTGAAAAACATTTTACAGAACATTTAAACATGTTTGTGATATTCTGTGCTTATCAAAATATTATATTTATGACTAGAATATCTTTTATGGTTTGATGTTGCTTTGTTACCTACAATTTAAAACAACATTCGCATGTGATTATAAACTAACATTCACATGTGAATTTTGAAGGGTTGTTTGTTGTATCACCGGTTTTTTATTTTTATTTTTATTTTTTTTTACATTTTTCTATAAAAGATTGATTGATTTATTGGTATGTTTTAAGCGTAAATTATGCCTTTTTCCATCAGCAATATTTTCAAACTTTTATTTTTCCAATTTATGTCTCCAAAATTGCATGAAAAAGAGGAAAGAAATGATTGTTATTCCATGCAAAAGCAGATGCGTACGTAAAGCTGGAGATATTTTTTACTTTGGAACAACACCCATATTTGTTTTTCACCCTAAATTTTTAGGGCAAATAACTCATAAGTCATATTTACCGAGGGTAAATTCCAAAATTTACCACCAAAAATCAAAAATAATGTTAAAAAACATGATTTTTTTACAGTATTATTGTTTTTTTAGAGTAAATTACAATTTTCGTCCCTGGTTTTTAAAAACTGTTTTTTTGTCCTCATGGTTTGCAATCCGTTTCTCTTTTCGTCCCTCTGACTAACTCTGTCATAAAAATCCAGTAAATGTCAGGGGCATTTTTGTCGTTTCTGTATTTCTTCAATTTTTAACTATTTATGATTTTTTAACGGAAGACACCAACCACCCACACCTCTTTGTGCCCAAAATCCAAATACGGCCATGAGGTGTAAAGTGTCACTAAATTCGTGAAATCGGTTTCGTTTTACACACCTTCAACGAGTTGTGAAAGGGAGAAGGGGGAGGAGGTCACGGTCCTGAACCAATGGATGTCAACAATGTTGCAATGGTGGTGGTCACCGGTGACGGTGACCGACGTTGCCTCCATCTCCAGCCTTTATCTCCATCCGGGATCCATCGGAACTTAATTAATCCCATCGGAACAATAAACACCGATCATTTCCAAGAATTTGTTTCAAGATAACAAACCGGAAAAACAAGATTCTTCGTCGTCAGAGAAGAAAAGATTATGGAAACGGAAGCCGATTCGGGTCCTTTCGCATATCGATGGATGTCGTCACCGTTCAAGGTCTTCTAGCGTCGATAAAACGGACTCTAGTTATCGGTTCTATAAGGAAGAAAGAAACAAAAGATGGAGCGGTTCAAACAAGGATTTTGGCAATGGGATATGAGCTTTGATCTATCCACAAAGGCGAAAAGGGCGGATGGTGAAAGACCAAATTACCCTAAGTTTAATGGGGTTTTTATATATTGTTAAACTGGAGGACGAAAAAAGAAACAAAATGACACCACAGGGATGGAAAAAACAATTTCTAAAAACCAGGGACAAAAATCGTCATAAATATCAAACCATAAGGACGAAAGTTATAGTTTACTTTATTTTCTATTTCACTCATCCTTTATTATTATATCCCATTTTATTGCAAACAAATTGTCATATGATTAAACAATTATAATTAATATGGTAAAAAATATTAGTACTTATGGGTGTTTGTAATTGTTTATTTGAAATAACGTATATTTTTCTATAAAAGCACTTATCAACTTATTATAAGTCAAAAGAGTTTAACTTCTTTTAAAAACTGTTTATTACCGGTTTGGCACCGGTATAAGTTCTTTATTCAAACAACTAAAAATGCTTATTATCGATGTCATACCGGAATAAATTAATAAATTGTTTTTATAACCAATCCTAAACACCCCCTTAGTTTATAATAACTTTTATGTCATGAATACTCGTTTGAATTAAAGTGATAATTTTTTTTATAAATAAATATTTCATTACTAAAAATCAAGTTATCCAGCTAGAAAAACCATTTACTATAACAAAATCAAGTTAACCGTCTTAATAGATTGTTTTACAAAACTTTATTTTTAGGACCAAAAAATTAAAAGTGTCCTATCTAAAGGCGTTTATAGGACGTTTTTGAGAAACAAGTTTTTTACGACATTTTTAATAGAAAAGTCCAATTAGCAATTTTGTAGGACACTATTTGAAAAAGTGTCATATAAAAAGATGAGTTTATAGGACACTTTCTCAAAAATGTCTTATAAAATTTGTTAATGCGACGTCTTGTCTCAAAAGTGTCATAAAAAACTTGTTAAGACGTCCAAAATGTTTTATCAACTTATTACAACGTATTTAGATAGAACGATTCATATTTTGGTTCTAAAAATTAAGTCCTATAAAACAGTCTATTAGGACACTTAGAAATTGGTGGCGTTCTATAAATACAATTTTGTTGTAGTGATTATATCCATAATATATATTAATAAATATTATTTTTAGTTGTATTTTGTTAAATGTTTGTTTAATCAATTTTAACAATATTTTTGGAGGACTTGCACCTTAGAGATATCCACCTAAGGATATAAACGAGTCGAGTCGAATCGATTAGCAGGTTATTCAAGCTCGGCTCGAGAAAAATAATATCAGGCTCGAGCTCAATTAACGTTTGCAAAGTCGGGCTCAAGCTCAAATATTTTTTTCACTGTTTGAGCTCGATGCTCGTTTATGAGCTCGAATTCTTGATCGATTAACTAGTTGTTTATTTACCCAAGCTTGATAATTTTTATATTTTGATTATATAATTTGTAAGCATATAAAAACGTTTGACTCAAAAAAGTGTATGATCAAATGGCTCGGCTTGACTCGTAAAGTTTAATCGATCTTTCAAACGAGTCGAGCCGACCATTAGTGTTATGGAGCTCGACTCGTTAAGTTAAGCAAACTTTATTTTGTGTTAGAGATCGACTCGAGCTCGAGATAAATTTTCTTCGATTTTGCAAAATGTTTCTTTAAATACTCTTGACAGGGATAAGGATCGGTGGTTCTTACATGAAAACGGAACCTTCCAAGTTAAAGTTTTTAGGAATATGGTCGACATCAACGTTCTCCCGACTTCAATCACCGGTTTTTCAACACCATGGGACAAGATAGCGCCAAGAAAAGTCAACATCTTGCTGAGCCGGCTTCTTGTTCTTCAACAATTACACGCCAAAGGAATCGATCTCAATTCCATTCTTTGTCTGTTGGTGCAACGATTTCATCGAGTTGGTGGAAGTAGAGGTGTAAATGAGTCGAGTTTTTTAACAAGCTACTCGAGCTCAAGCTCAAGCTCCTATTAAACCACTTCCCACGATCAAAGATGTCGTAAAGTCTCTCGGGCATCTATCACTTAATTTAAAGTTCCCAACCCATTTGAGGATCCCTTCCATCTCCTATTTTCCTACCAAAAGATGTCGTAAAGTCCACCCACAACTCTCAATATCTCTTCCTATATGAACGATATTCCCCCAATTCGAGCCTTTGTCGTTGGTAGCAACAACGGACTCGATAAGACCCCCGTCCCATCCGTAAATACTTCTAATAACTCTCACCCAAAGAGCATTACTCTCAACCCGAAAGCACTCGCTAAGCTCCGCAATATATAATTTATTTATTTTTGCAACAAAAAAAAAAACAAAATGGGCTAAGAATGTGAATTAAAATTTACAAACAAAACAAGGCCCATTAGATCTTAGGTTTAGTAGCCCACGATTTTATTGGGCCAACTATTTTATTCACCAAGGGAATGATACACATACAGCGAAACCAAAACAGTCTCGTTTTTTTATGAATCATGTACGTGAAATATATCTTGACATTAGGTGGCCAAGTTTTTTTCTTTAAATTGACAAAAATATGTGTACGAATGTACGGTCTATGCATAATAATCACCGATATTTGAATTAGTTTATGAATACCTTACTGGTTGGTCTTATGGGCTCCTTAAGTTAATAGTTACACAATTCCTGTTGATCCTAAGGACTCGAACGGGAGACCGTTAAGGAGCAAAACCAACGTCTTACCGGTAATTTATGTACGCGTGTATACATATAATGGAGAAAGAAAACCATATTTTTTTTTTGATTAACTTGGATATCCAACCCGCTATGCGAGCCGACTAATCGTATGGCGACCATCTGCTTTGCAGATAGCTCAGAGTCATTGCATTTGAACCTCCGTGGCCACAAGGGGATTTTTATTCCTCCTTGGATTTGAACATGAGACCTCATGGTACTTTTGACCTTTAGAATTAAGCTCAAACCAATAAAGCACTACCCTTGTGATTAAAGGGTAAAGGGGAATAGACGAATACCGTTCCAATGCTTCAATTGACTGAAGCTCATTCGGATTGATTCATATATTTGTTGTTACTTACGTACAATTATAAACAACCTTATTTTATTTTTTGAGTTCAAAAAAAGACATGTTTTGTGAACGCAAATGTTTCAAGAAAATAATGATAAATACGTTGTGTGAACTTTAAAATAAATGCCAGAAAGACCAAAAAACACGAATCCCGCTAGTGTTTTCGTACCATATAAATCAAAGATGAAAAACTCAAGACTGGAAGAAGAAAAAAACAGAATTATGTAAATGTCGTTGATCAGGAATTTTGAAATTGGGGGTTATGGAAACCCCGCTTCTAGAAGGCTATGATCCTCTTATGTTGTGTAGATCTCCTATTGTGCAGGGTCATTTGTGTGCACCAAATAAGATGTCTATGCCATTGAAATCGTAATGATTGACACAACAAAACCATAATTTGGTTGTGGCAAAACCAAAAGGGAACCGCCATAAAGTTGGTTCGAAGTTTAGGTGTTTCGTCAAAGTTTTTGAAGCAAATTGAGGTAAGACTTTGTGTTTAATCTTCGATTAAGTGAACCTTATTGTTTAATGCGTGTTGCAAGTCGAATAATGGGGCTTATGGGTGGCAACAGTTTTATGATAGCAACCAATGACTATCACATATGCGGTGGCGACGCTTTGAATGGTGGAAATAAAAAGGCTCATTGTTAAGGCTCCTTTTCATTGCTAGCGAACTCGAAATACTAGGGTGTTCAAATAACTGTTGGATCACAAAGACTGATTGAACCAGACTAAACTGGACCTTTTTTGCAATTTGTTTTAAAAAATAGCCAAAACATGAGAAGGATGCAGATAGCGAGGCTTGATACCAAAGATTGAAGGGGAGGATATCATCGAACCAGATATGGAGAGGTTGGCAACGATGGTCCTATGAGGCTGTGAGTGGAACAGTGAGTGGGTGATGGTTGGTCGGCGAACCGCGTCTTCTCCACAAACCTATAGAGAAACACGTATCAGGGGGAGGCCAGCAGTCATTCCAAATGGAAAAGGGGGGTGACAGGGGGTTTCTCGTTTAATTTTCAGGTTCTAAGTTGTCGAAGAAGGCGAGCTGGAAGGGGAGATGTTTTGGGTCGCCGAGAACGGGATAGGGAGAAGGGTTACGGGGTAACGGGGAAAGAGTAGTTCTTTAAGTTCTGAAAATTAACAAAAAAAGACCTCTGTAAAATTTGATTATTTAATCCTTTAACTTTCAATGTATACATTTTGGTCCTTAACTTAAAAAGGTTAGTTAATTTACATAGTTAAAATGGAGAAAAATAACAAAAGGACCATTTTACCTAGGGGTGCTCAAAAACCCGACCAACCCAACATGAAATAACCCAATCCGAAGCAACCCGATGTCTAATCGAGTTGTAAAATTGTCAAACCGTAGGTATTTGGTTGATATTAAGTTACACTTATTTGAACCCAACCCAACCTGATGAACCCGATATCCTTTTTATTTCTTGGATTTAATATGATTGTTGAATTTCTATTAATATATACATTACATAGTTACATTATCATGTATGATTTTCATATACACATATTTTCAATCTATTCACATCTTTATATAACTCATTTGTATATATGTTCAGTAACTGTGAACATRTATATGTAAATTGARAAAATTAACTGAATATGATATACGTAAGAAATATGGATAAGTTGTATCAAATGGTTGATGATGACAAAGAAATTATGAGTAAAGAAATAACATATTCAAGGTTAAAAGAATATTTAACGTACCAAAATATCAACCAGACCAACCCGATGAACCCGACCAACCCGTACGGGTTGGGTTGGGTTGCACTTTGCTTTGAGTTGGGTTGTGTTAAGATTTTTTCAAACCGCAAGCATTGGGTTGCCTTGTTCAAATGTCTTCAACCCGATCAACCCAACCCATGAACACCCCTAATTTTACCCCTGATTTTAACAGACTTTGTAGACTGTCGTTTGGTCCGATGACCAAATCCAACAGAAAATGCAGACTAAAGGGACCAAATCCGTAATTTACTCTAAAAACAAACTTAAAATGGATTTAATATTGATTTAATTTTTTTTTTTGGAAAACATTATTCATCAACTCTTTCTCTCTCACATGCGCACTGGTAATCAAGTTCATACTCGAGAAGGAGAGAGAAAACCCCAACTCCTTTTGATTCCTCCTTTCTCTTCTTCTCCCACAACCCCATCGATCTTCAAACAAACCATTAATACTTCCATATTCATCAATTCATGTTCATGGGTGTTTCCAGATTCTTAATCTTGTTGATGTTAATCTCCATCTTCCTCCCACCATCATCACCAGATCAGAAAGATGAATCTTGTTTAACCCATCTATTTCAATCCTTTCAAGACCCCATCGGAAACCTCCATAACTGGACCAGACCCGCCTTTTCAAACCCATGTTCTGATTTCACATCCAACCTCATCGGAGCCACCTGCAACAATGGCCGAATCTACAAACTCTCCCTCCAAAACCTCTCCCTCCGTGGCTCCATCTCACCTTACATCTCCAACTGCACCAATCTTCAATCTCTAGACCTCTCGAACAACTCCCTCACCGGACCTATCCCCGGCGAACTTCAGTCCCTCGTCAATCTCGCCGTCCTCAACCTCTCCTCCAACCGCCTCTCCGGCGAAATCCCGCCGTCTCTCCCTATGTGCATTTATCTCAACGTCATTGACCTGCATAACAACCTTCTCTCCGGAACAATCCCGCCGCAGCTCGGGTCTCTGGTTCGGTTATCGGCTTTTGATGTTTCTAATAACAAATTATCCGGCCCGATTCCGGCGAGTTTGGGAAACCGGAGTGGGAACTTAGCTCGGTTCAATGTGAGCTCGTATTCAGGTAATAAAGATCTTTACGGGTACCCTTTACCGCCGATGAAGAGCAAAGGGTTATCGGTGTTGTCGATTGTGGGGATCGGGTTGGGAAGTGGGTTGTTGAGCTTGGCTTTGAGTTTTACGGTGGTGTGCGTGTGGCTGAGAGCGACGGAGCAGAAGACGGCGGCGGAACAAGAAGTGAAGATTAGTAGATCAATGCCTGATTACTGAATCAACATATTCATTTTCCTTTTGCTGTTGTAAAATTCGTAGGTTTTTGTTTGCTTTTTAATCTTAAATTTGATGATGTTTATTGTATAAATTAAGCATCTTGAAACACAAAGTGAGCAAGAGGGTACGGGATGGGGAAAAAGCATCGACTTCTGAAATTTTGTCAGGTGAAATCCGTACAGAAATCGTCTCTTTCTCCGAGGCCCCAATCAAGATTTTGGTTGTCATGTCTTTGTTATGATTATTGTATATAAACTCAAATTCTATGGCCCAATCTTGTTTAAAATACTAAAATTCATCAAGATAGTCATTCCAATTAGGGGTTTTCATGGGTTGGATTGAAGACATTTGAACAATTCAATCTAATGCTTACGATTTGGAAAATCTTAACTCAACCTAACTCAACTTGTACGGTTTGGTCGGGTTGATACTTTGATACATTAAAATATTCTTCTAACCTTGAATATGTTATTTCTCTACTCATAATTTTTTTTTCATCATCAACCATTTGATACAACTTATTCATACTTCTTACGTACATCACATTCAGTTAATTTTCTCAATTTACATATATATGTTCACAGTTACTGAACATATATACGAATGAATTATATAGAGATATGAATAGATTGAAAAGATGTGTATATGAAAAGCATACATGATAGTGTAATTGTCTAATATATATATAAATAGAAATTCAACAATCATATTAAATCCAAGAAATAAAAGGATATCAAGTTTATTGGGTTGGGTTGGGTTCAAATAATAGTAACTCAATATCAACCTAATACCTACGGTTTAATAATTTTACAACTCGATTAGACATCGGGTTGCTTCGGGTTGGATTATTTCGCATTGGGTTGGGTTGGGTTGATCAGGTTGGTCGGGTTTTTGAGCACCCCTAATACCTGTTATATAAATTGGTCTGCTAGCCATTCATCTTCTTAATTTACTCAAGTATCACCACCTCTGCTAGTTTCACGTCCGTCACTTGCGAAACTGGCTAAAAGGATGACCGTCACAATTTTGGACCTGGGTTAAATCTGATAATTTTTTTTGTCTTTTAGCTAGGCTCGCAAGTGGTGGATGTGGAACTTGCGGTTATAATGAGATTTGGGTAAATGACTAAGGAATCGATTTATATGAGAGAAATAGTTGTTTTTTACCAATCTCCTTTTAAAATATGATATATTAATTCCCGATCTAGTTTAAAATATGATAGATTAGTTACGTTTATAAAAATAATTGTTATGTTTTTTAAAAAATTAATTGAGTTCGATAACAATATAAAAGTAATATTTTGGTTAAAAATTGATTGTCGATAATTTTTATCAGTCTCATACTAAACACGTTTCCAAGGACACCAATGTAAAGGGGTATTTCTTTATTGACTTGGTTGAAGCTAGCAGGTGTCCGTGATCGAACCCGGCAACTCGCTATGCATTACAAACTTACAATCAAATTGGGTTTATAGAATGTTTAAAATGACTAAGCTTTCTAATAGCATATGCTATATGACCATACAATTAGGTGTTTTTTCTAAAATTGTTACAATAGATTTATAGAACGTTTTATCAAGTTTTTATTTTTTAGGACGTTTTTAAAATAAAATGTCATATTAGTTATTTTATATGACGTTATTTGAAAAAATGTGCTATAAATCCATTTTTTCAAATAACGTCGTATAAAATTGTCAATTACAACATTTTATTTTAAAAGCGTCCTAAAAACTTGTTAAAATACTTAAGAGCGTCCTATAATCTCATTGTAACACTTTTACATAATACACTTTATAGTATAGTCATATAAACTTAAGTTTCATAAAATATGATATTAGAACAGTTTGAAATTTTAAGCGTCATATTGAAGAAACTATTTAAAATGATATTATTAAAATATAACCTGTAGTTTTTCACTAAACTATCTTAAGGTTAACTATATGCCACTATTTCAACTCAAATCTAGAAACTTCTACACTATTCGAAAAATGTCAAGTCTCTATGGAGGTATCTAGAAGGTTCTTCATATAAGAATAGATAACTCTCTTGTACATGATATTTACTTCATATTCTTAGATTTAGATTACTAATGTAAGCATATATTAGCCGTTCTTTTGGAGTCGGAACTAGCATAAGTAGGTTGTCATATGTATATAATACATAAGAGGGGTAAAGAGTTCATTGGGTTGGGTTGGGTTGGGTTAGGTTCAAATTGGTCCAACTCAATTCCAACCAAGTATCTATGGATTAAATGAAATGGATTTTTTACATAAAAGTAAGTAAAAATTAAATCAAATTAGAAAACAATTTGGGAATGATTTTTTCTAACAATATTCATAACTATAGGGTTGAGTTTATGTGAAAATGGAAGTTAAGGTGAGAAGCGTAAGAAGACATCTCCACATTTGAATCAATTAATTGAATGTCAACACTAATGAGGTGCATCGAAATGCACCGGATTAATTCTTTTCTAGAGCTATTTCAAGGGTGAGCATGAGATTAAAAATGATTAAGGGTTCAGATCTCTTCTTATACATCTCAGCATAACTTCCCTTCTTATAAGATACTTCGCATATGACTATAATGATAAATATTCACACATATTCAAATTTTATGATAAAGGACAAGTCATGTTACATAATCATTTGTATATTTAATATTTTGTAGTTAGTAGACATTATGTAACATAATTATGAATGCTTCAAAATATGATGAGATTGCTTTTATTTGTTTTTAAGTAATTTTTAAAAATATTAATATGCTTTATTTAGTTTATATTTTTATTACAAGATTCTCATTATAACATGTTTATATACACAATTACTTTAATTTTTTTTTATTAACCTGAATATCCAACCCGTTATGCGAGCCTACTAATCTCAAGGCGATCAACTGCTTTGTAGGTAGTCCGAAGTCACCGTATTTAAACCTCCGTGGCCACAAAGAGATTTTTATTCCTCATTGGATTTGAACCTGAAATCTCCAGACATTTTGACATTTGGAGCCCATGCTCAAATCAATCAGATATCACCCTTGTGGTTCAATTACTTTAATTTTAGAATATTTGAAAACATAATCACGTATATATGCTATATATAATACAATTAACCCATTAAAATCCAATTACTTGGATGAATTATAATCATACTAGAAGCATACTCGTATAATACAACATGATACATTTTGATTTTTTAATGTTTTCTTTTATTATTTGTGTTTGTCGATTTTATAATACACTTTTGTATGACTTTGTATTAACAATAATGTTTTTATATTTAAATAAATTATAAATTTGAAGACCCTATAAAATTTTGAAAAGTATATATTTCGTTATTAGTATCAAATCAACAATTTAAAAGTTCTCCTTTTATTTTGTATAATTTTTCTTCGTTTAATTTTTATTATAATTTAATTTAGATTTAATAACGAATTAATTTATTTTAAGTTTAATAATATAACATCTTTTATAAAGATAATAATTAATTGTTCTGTTAGAACTCAGTAATTATCCTAATTATATTTTAGATTATTTAGATTTTAAAATAAATTATTTATCAAGTATTTGATTATGTTTATTAGTTAGTTATATGATTTCAAACATATAGCTTTAAAAAGTTATACCATGAACCGTTTAATTGTAATCTTGAATTTTAGGTAATATGTATCGTCAAACAGTACTTGATATATTAAAAATGGTTTTAAGGGTTTAATTTGAATACTTTATAATATAACATATAAACAATTTTTTTTATTAACATGGATATCCAACCCGCTATACGAGCCGACTAATCCCAAGACGACCACCTGCTTTACGGGTAGTCCGGAGTCATCGTATTTGAACCTCCGTGGCCACAAGGGGATTTTTATTCCTCCTTGGATTTGAACTTGAGACCTCTAAACACTTTTGACCTTTGGAACCCAAGCTTAAACCAATCAAACACCACCTTTATGGTTTAAACAAAATTTTATTATTGTTTGGTGATGAATTCTAATGTCAATGTATCAACCCCTAATTTTTAAGTGCAAGTTTATTATAAATAATATTATCTTAATGGAAAATCATGTGCAACTATTGTATATTCAATTGGCCTTCAAAATAATAATGTTGACTAATTTGTTGATGATAGGTGTCATGTTTGGAACACCTATGATTATAACATCAAAATAACATTTAATCCTATTATAAATTAGTAACTTCAGATCATGAATTAGTAACTGTATCCAATTTTTAAGAAAATTTCAAATGTTTTCATTTTGGAAATGGAATATTTATGTATTGTTGACTTCCCAAATACATCTCTCAATCGATTCCAGACTGGCCATAAGTGTTGATATGCATCGTACACTTTGTTTATCCTTACAATTAGACTATCATGAGAAGCTTAATGAAAAGTCCTTAATTAGTTATATGCAAATTGCCTCCTTTGCTCCTTCCTTTGTTATATGCAAAATTATGATCGATCTCTTCAAGAAAATGTAGCTTATAAACATTTAAAAGCCCTAAAAACCCGTCAAGCCCACTAAACGAGTCGTCTTTCGAAGAGCATGTTGAAGCTAACGATCACTTGAGAAGATACGTCTTCTTGAGTTTTCATTTGAGAAAATATGCTCAGCTCTGCAAACATTTGAAAAACTATGCTCCACTTGCGACTTCGATGCAATTAAAGTCGTCGAAATAGGGAACTTAGGTAGCTCATAAAATATATAAATTCAATATAAATGTAGGTGTTTTGATCATAAATATGGGTTCAAAAATGTATTTACCAATTTTCCTATATATGTGTTATTTTTAAGCTGAATTAATGTCGTATTTCAATCCAGATGTTCCACTTCCTCCTCCAAAAGGACGTGATTGTGGAGACATCTTCTTCAAGAAAGAGCGTATAGTGCATGTCCTCCATGTCTCATTCGTTATTTAAATTTTAAGAGAATCATCATTCACTTGAGATCGTATTTATAACATGGGTAGGCGGAGACATCTTTTTCAAGAAAAAATGCATGATCTCTAGTAGGTAAATCAACTAGGGGTTGTTTGACGGTTATTGAATGGTTTGATACAGAATGATTAAGTGATCAAAATGATTAAGAAGCTCTCTATAGTATATAGTGCAGAATAAAATATGATTATTTGGTAACTCAACTGAATAAACGGTCTAAATGGCAACAAATTACCATTTTAACCATATGTATGATTTAGTTCTGAATGAAATATAGTCATTTAATTGCTCAAGTTTTAGGTTAAACGAAAACATAATATTATCCTTAATGTTGGATGTAAACAAGACTGCTTCTTGGCTAACAACACCAGTTTTCTCCCTAATCCATTTTAGTTCGAATTCTTTGAGATTTATATCATCAACAAGAACTTCCCCTGCTTGAGGATCGTAAAATCTCTTTATTAAGCTGGTATAATGTTGATTTTCTCCAACCAAAGTTGCAGTCATGCCGCTAGAGACGAAAAGAGAGAAGCCAATGAATATTTGTTCAGTTGGTCTTGTTGGATAAGTAAAATATACATCCTTGAATCAGGGACATACCTATTAAGTTCCAAGTAGGGTCCTCTACACCTAGGGCTGTAAACGAACCGAACGTTCAGCGAACCGTTCGTGAACCGTTCGGCTGGAAGTTCGTTTATGTTCGTTTATTTAATAAATGAACGAACATGAACAATTTTTTTTGTTCGTTTAATTAAACGAACGAACATGAACAAGAGTCTCGTTCGTTCATTTATGTTCGTGAACGTTCGTTCATTTACCGTT